TTTTTTTTCGTGGTGCTCCCCTCTTCCGCTAATGTCATGTTGCACAGGGTTAAATTGATATGCTGAGCAGAAATAAACCATCTCCCATTAGGAATCCTTCTTCAGCTCTTACCTTACCTCCCATCTCGGTTGGCCTTTCTCAACTTTCAACATATATTTTTATCCCTAGGTTTGGAAAACAGACCTTCTGAATAGCTTGGACTACAATCCCCATTGTTCTCAGACAGCCTGGCCTTGGAGCACAATGTAACACTAGCTGAGAGGCAAGAGAGTTCGAGAATGAAGTCATGAATCTAATCATAATATGGAACAAGTCCACAACAGTACTTTTCCTAAGAGTTCAAGAGTGCCTGTAGGACATTTTTGTTTTTGTTTTTTTGTTTTGGCAATGACCATAAAGCAGGCCTGAATTTTGTTTGATTTCTACAAGTTGGGGGTTATTATCCCGAAATTATAAATTTTAGGACTGGGAACGCAACTTGGAACTGGACTCCCGCCTGTTGTGACTAACCAACAATCAAGGAGAATGTAGAGTTGTTTTTCTTTCAAGGCGTTTCGCTTCTCATCCAGGAAGCTTCTTCAGTTCTGACTGTCAGAACTGAGGAAGCTTCTTGGATGAGAAGCGAAACATCTTCAAGGAAAGTCCAGTTGTCTTTTGAAAAAAGCACTTTTGGGACAACCATGATCTGGATGACTGAGAATCTCCAGAGATAATAAAGGAGAGTATTTGTAACTCAGGGTTGAAATGAGGGGGTCCTAGGTAATTTCATTACCCAAATTAGGTAACCTCATCAGTACCTTGATGAGGTTACCTAGTTTGGTAACGAGATGTCTGCAAGAAAACAACCAAACTGAGAGAGCACCAACGACCCTGATTAACCAACAGTTTGGTGTTTTCCAGCCCTCTCGTTCTTCCTTTCTCAGAGTCCATATTCTACCTTGCAGTCTCAGAGGTAGATACTCACCTCATAAATGCCTCCAAAGACAGAAAGAAACTTGCTGAGAAGGGCTGCACACATGCTGGCTATGTGGACGAAGGGTCCCTGAACAGAGGAAAGGGAGGAAGAATTGGTTAGCAAGAACAGCAGAATGTTGCTAGGGCCCAAACACTTTCAAAGTTTTTATTTTTATTTATTTTTCTACTCTGTTTCTATAGCCGCCCCATCTCAATCAATGATTCCATGAGCGGTGTGTCCAGTTATGGAAGCTGATAAGGCAGCTGGATTAAGGCAAGAAGAATCACAGGATCATAGAGTTGGAAGAATCAGAGGATCATAGAGTTGGAAGAATCACAGGATCATGTTCAACCTTCTATGGGATTCACTGCAGGTAGTGAATGAATGAATAAAATGAACAAGCTAGAAGGGACCTTGGAGGTCTTCTAGTCTAGCCTCAAGCAGGAGGACCTATTACCATTTCAGATAAGTGACTGTCTAGAGTCTTCTTAAAAACATCCAGTATTCCAGCGCTTACGATTTCTGAAGGCAAAACTGTTCCGCTGGTTAATTGTCTTCACTGTTAGGAAGTTTCTTCTTAATTCTAGGTTGCTTCTTTCTTTGATTAGTTTCCAACCATTGTTTTCTGCCCTGCCCTCCTTGAGTTACGACCCCAACGGAGCCCACCATTTCTGTTGTTTCCTGAAACATTTGCTACGTGAGTTTTGCCCCATTTTACAACCATTTCTGTTGTTCAGTGAATCATTGCAGTTGATAAAGGTAGGAACCCGGCTGTTAAGTGGATCTGGCCAGAAGTCTGCGAAAAGTGACCACATGACCTTGAGACACAGCCATGGTCATAAGTATGAACCAATTGCCCAGCATTTGAATGTTGATCACCTGACCATGGGGATGCTACAAAGGTTGTAATTGTGACAAATGGTCCTAAGTCCCTTTTTTCAGTGCCGTTGTAATCTTGAGCAGTCCCTAAATGTTGTAAGTCGAGGACTGCTGGTCTCCTATGTTCTCCCAAACTATCTTTCTGCAAGCTGAAGACAGCTGCGTCTTTTCAGCACTCCAGGCAGAACCTGGTTTCCGGATCTTTCTCCGTCTTGGTAGTCCACAGACCCCCAAGCCCCCCTCACCTCTTTTCCCAAAGGCATCCCGCTGCCTAATGCACAGGTCAGTCCAATGACTTTGGCCACAAAAGTCTTGAGGGTCAGGTATTCCTTCAGCACCACACCACGCAGGATCGTTTTCATTTCTGGGATGCCAGAGCCTGTAGAGGAAAGAAAGACAGACAGACAGACGGAAAGACAGAAAGAGAAAGGAAGGAAGGAGGGAAGGAAGGAACAAAGAAAAAAGAAAGAAGAAAGAAAGGTGGGGGTGAGGGAGAGAGGAAAGGAGGGAAGAAAGGAAGAGAGAGAGAGAGAGAGAGAGAGAGATGGAGGTAGGGGAGAAGAAGGGAAGGAGGGAGGGAGGAAAGAAAGTGAAAG